TGATGATGATGATGATGATGATGATGATGATGATGATGATGATGGTGTATGATGATGATGATGATGATGATGGTGATGATGATGATGATGATGATGGTGATGATGATGATGATGATGATGATGGTCGTGATGATGATGATGATGATGGTAGTGATGATGATGATGATGATGATGATGATGATGATGATGATGATGGTGATGATGATGATGATGATGATGATGTTGGTGGTGATGATGATGATGATGGTGATGATGATGATGGTGATGATGATGATGATGGTAGTGATGATGATTATGATGATGATGGTGATGATGATGATGATGATGGTGGTGGCTTACCATATAGAAGACTGGCCCATTATCATTAACGTCAATCAAAGTGATGTCAATGGAACCGAAGTCCATATACCCTGTAACACCAGTATCCCGAACCATCACAAGCACCTACGAAACAAAACAATGAATAAAACGGAATAATATCGCTCAGAGTGTAGATGTTCCAATTCACTACAAAGCCTGGTTGACACTATCAAAGTTTCAGTGATCACAGTAGGAATCTTGCATAGGTAAACTATAAGTTTTGAAGGATTTGTAAGAAATCTTTGAGGGAACTGATCATAGATATCATATATACACTGGATAGCGCATCTCTTTTAGAAAAATTGAAACCAAGAATATTGCAGCGGTTATCCCCATTTGAATAGATGGCGGCCATGTTGGTGTTTCCCACTCGCTAATAAACGCTTAAGAAACAACAATAACTTTCATCATTTGAATAGTTTAAAAACGTATTTGGAATAGGTTTACCTTAATATTTAAGTTCCCTGTTTAAGAAATAGAAAACATACGAGTCTTCTCATTTCATGGGAATATCCTGAGTCTGCAATGACGCGGTTTCAATTTTTTAATTGCAGAATAATTAGATGCACAATCTAGTATATATAAGATATGTATGGAAGTGACTCACTGTTTAACAAGCTTAAATAAATTTTCTCTCGTGTCTGATATAAAGGTCCATTTCCACACAGGAAAATTTTGTAAAATGTGATTGGCCGACACAAATTTTCCGTAGGAAAAAAATTTCAAAGTTGAAAATTTTCAACTTTTTACAATGATATTTTCGGAAATTTTCTGTCCGTGGAAATTTTCCTTGAGTGGAAATGGGTCTTAATAATAAAATGAAATGAGGTACAAACTTACAATATAATGAATGATGGTCTCGTAGTCCAATTTCACGGCAGTTCTCACGACACCAGTGTTAGCGTCAACACTGAAATGACCATGAGAACCATGCACGATGGAATACACTAACTCTGCGTTGTTTGAGGAATCCTTGTCCGTCGCATTCACATCCACAATAAATGTTCCTATGGGTACATCCTTGAAAATAAAATATTTATCAATTGGTAAATATTTAAGTAAAAGTAAGATTTTGGTTTTCCTAGTAGAAGCTGTATTATTATTAAGTACTCGTTAAACTACAGATCAAAGGATAAAGGTTAGCTAAACTAACTTTCTTTATATTGGATAGCTCTATCAGTTCTGATTTCTGAACTGTTCTCCCTAGAGGTCCAGTAAGGATCATCTCTTATTTATCCAGTGTTACTACAGGAGGAAACCTAAACTAAACTAACTTTATTTATACTGGATAGCTCTATCAGTTCTAAACTGTTCTCCCTAGAGGTCCAGTAAGGATCATCTCTTATTGATCCAGTGTTACTACAGGAAGAAACCTAAACTAAACTAACTTTATTTATACTGGATATCTCTATCAGTTCTGAACTGTTAATTCTCCCTAAAGTCCAGTAGGAGCCATTCCTAATCGAAGAGTCGACAAGCCATTCAAGGTAGCTCCGCCTCGAACGATCAAATGAGAGATTGAAATTTCAAAATTCTTACCTCGCTAATCACAACCGTCATGTCCTTCGGTTCAATCACAGGAGCATTATCATTCACATCCGTTACCATGACAGTCACGTCAGCAAGATCAAAATAAAATGGCGCGGTCTGGTCCTGTCCTCTAACTGTAAATCTTACTGTATGATTGACTTCTCGGTCCAAGGGTTTTGCTACTGTGACAATACCTGTCGTGTTGTCGAGCCGGAAAAGACCTGTAGAAAAAATATGAAAGTTCATTTATAATTTCTCGGAATCATATGATTTTGAGTCCAGTATAAAAAGTAAGTTCAGTTTAGGTTTCCTCCTGTAGTAACACTGGGCCAATAAGAGATGATCTTTACTGAATCTCTAGGGAGAACAGTTTAGAACTGATAGAGCTATCCAGTATAAATAAAGTTAGTTTAGTTTAGGTTTCCTCCTGTAGTAACACTGGGCCAATAAGAGATGATCTTTACTGAATCTCTAGGGAGAACAGTTTAGAACTGATAGAGCTATCCAGTATAAATAAAGTTAGTTTAGTTTAGGTTTCCTCCTGTAGTAACACTGGATCAATAAGAGATGATCCTTACTGGACCTCTAGGGAGAACAGTTAAAAACCGATAGAGTTATCCAGTATAAATAAAGTTAGTTTATAGGTTTACTAGCTCACCCTTTTCGTTGCCATCAGTGATGGTATACGAAACTTTTCCATTCAAACCAACATCTTTATCTTCAGCTTTCAATGTCACAGCTACAGCGCCAACAGGTGAGTCTTCCTTGATCTTCCGAATGTAAATATCCTCAGTAAATTGAGGACGGTTGTCATTCTCGTCAATGATTTTGATTGATAACTGAAAGAAACGAAAGATATGAAACGTGTGCGTACAATGTAGGAAGTATCATCACGTTGAGATTTTATAGGCATTGGAACGCGAGATACGTGTCTAGACCTTTTAAAATAAAATATCATCAAACCTCTCCATCAGTCGATAGAGGAGAATCTCCCAGATCTGTGGCGCGAATTTTGATGATATAGTTTCCAGTCTCTTCGCGGTCCAATCTCTGTGTTGTGCGGACTTCACCGGTAGTCGAGTCAAGAGAAAACTTATCACTGGCTTCCAGTAAGGAATAACGAACCTATAGACAAAAACAGTAACTTCATTTATACCGGATAGCTCTGTCAGTTCTAAACTGTTCTTCCTAGAGGTCTAGTAAGCATCATCTCTTATTGATCCAGTGTTACTATAGGGGGAAACCTAAACTAAACTAACTTCTCGACGGTGTTTTGCTTACCATAGAGTTATTCGCCGAGTCAGCATCTGTCGCTTGAATTGTAGTGATCAAAATTCCCGGATCAAGATTCTCTTTCACTTCGGACGTCAGAGATGCCTCAATGAATTCTGGGTAATTATCATTGAAGTCTGTGATGGTGATATAAACAGGTACATGAGAGGATAGAAAAGGTGATCCATGGTCAGATGCGGATATATTGAGGATAAAATATCTGTCTGAGGGATCTTCGTAGTCCAGACGAGACGAAGGCTGGATTATCCCAGTGAAGGCTGAAAGATGATTTATGATATTATAGCTTTTTATGCATTGGTCAATTTTTTATTTAGTTAATTATTTAGTTGACCAGTTACCGGATCAAATATACAAACCATACGAACAAAGGTTCATTGATGCACAAATATTGACCAGGATTGTTGGTCACAGTGATAGTTATATTTACTTATAGTCCGGGAAAAGTTCGTTCCCTATATAGTTACATAGATGGCAACTACTTTCCTTTTACCTTCAATGGTAAATTTACCACGTCCACCAGAAACAATGGTGTATGTTAGTTCTTCATTAATGCCCTCATCACTGTCACTTGCAGAAACTCTGACGACCTACAACAAAATGTATCCTCATAAACCTGGCTGAATGACAAAATAATGTTCATTTTTCCATTCTACCCCCCCCCAAAAAAAAAAAATATGGCGACAATTTGGTTGTTAGGCACACTACACTTACCATATCTCCAGGGAAAGTACGTTCCGAAAGGCTCACATGGTAAGCGGTCTTCTCAAATGATGGCGTATTGTCATTAGAATCCAGGACAGAAATCTCGAGCATTGTGTCTCCTCGGAGAGCCGGGTTACCGTGGTCTGAAGCCTGGAAAAAACAAAAAGAATTTGAGTTAAAAAATTTTCAATACCGCTTCCAGTTTGACTCTAAATTAGTTTAGTTTAGGTTTCCTCCTGTAGTAACACTGCATCAATAAGAGATGATCCTTACTGGACCTCTAGGAAGAACAGTTAGAACTGATAGAGCTATTCATCTTACCTCGACCTTGATGATGTATTTCTCCTGAGTTTCGCGATCAAGTTGATCAGATACGTTGACTTCACCAGTATTTTCATCAATAAAGAAAGGTATACTCACTATAAAAGAACAGAGTCTTGTTAAGACGTCCAACTTTCACGTCAAAAATGTTTGAACTAAAATTGTGTCTTGTAAAGATGTTTAAGCTGTTTAATACTTTCTCATTTATCGTACTGACATACACACAAACACACTAACAAACCTTCGTCTCCCCCATCAGAATTACAACCATAATACTCCATTCTGAGACAGCTTTGTTCATTCCAAAGTAAGGGATACAAGCGAACAAATCTTGACTTGAAAGATGGTAATATCCTTTGAACAACAACACTTTCAGCATCGCTATTTCCACTGAAAGTCTAGAAATAACGGATTAATAATGAACACATGAAAAAAAACAACAATAAAATTGACTCAGGGCTTAGCCAACATACAGACGTACAAATCTCACGACTTGTCAAAAAGATGTCTTCGCAACAGGCTTGTAGCAAGCTTGGCAACAAGTTGTAACAATGTTGTTATTTTATGAAGTTGCTACAAGGTTGTCACCACTCACAACGTGTTGAAAAACTGGAATTGCAGGACGATAACAAGTTGTCGAAAAAACGTGTAACAAGTCTGTTGAGCTCAATAACCTTGTAGCAAGTTGTGAACAAGCCGTTGCTAACTTGTCAACAAGCTGGGAACAAGCAGTGCGAACACATCCTGTTGACAAGTTGTTGGAACAGCATTGCTATTACAAGTCTGCTGCAGGTTTGTTACAACTTGTGCGTTTTTGCGTGTGTATACGTTGAAACTTCTCGTCAACTTGTTGTTGTCGTACCTGATCATGCTGTGACCACGTGTTTCCATCCACACTATGAGTCAGCGAATATTTACTGACATAAGATGTCCCATCTGGTCTGCCTTGCGTCGCAACTCGCGTGATTTTCTTCAAACGCCCGAAGTCAACTTGGATAAATGGAGTAAGATCAGCGATGGATGCACACCAAGCTCCTAAAAAGATCTCTTTATTCAACCTTGTTTCTTGTTGAAACGTGAACTTTATAGATTGATTTCAGTAGTAGCTTTGCAGAAGAGCAAATGGTAGAAATGGTGGTGGCTCCATCATTATTCCTAACCCCTACAGATAATCTTAATCCGAATCTAATCCAGAAATCCAACAAACCTTGATAAGTAACTCCAGCTTGTGTGGATGGCTTGTTATTTAGCCTTCCTTGTGTTGGACGAAAATCTTTGTTCGGTTCAGAATGAAATGAACTTGCAGTTATATCACTTGCAAGAACAGCCACGCTTTCCAAGCCCAGAGGCAAAAAACATGAGTTATCTACAGCTACCATTTCTCCATTTAGACCTAAATAATATAGTTTTTTTACAGCAATGGTAAGCAGACATAATGTATGAAAGATATCTCAAACATGGTGGTCCAGTGAAAAGGTAGTATTCTACAATAAGCTGTCGTGGTTTGTGTCTGAACTACCTGAAGAAGATATCTCAAACGTGGTGGTCCAGTGTAGGCAGTATTCTACAATAAACTGTTGTGGTTTGAAAAGTTGAAAATGTTCTCGAGTGTGTATTTCATAATTTCCATACCCAGCGCAAGCAGAAAAATATTGTCTGCCGCGACTGGGTCTTGAACCCGCGACCTTCGAATTACTAGATCGACGCTCTACGAACTGAGCTACACGGTCAGACGGATTTAAGACTGGAAATTATGAACTATATACTGAATGTCATAAACATACTCGTTTATATTAATTCAGCGTCGAACCATGCTAGTTATGCAAGTGTTATGTAATGTTGTGTTATTGTTCACTGAACTACATGAACTACGTGATCCAGTGTAGATTCTGTAATAAGCTGTCGTGGTTTGTGTCTGAACTACCTGAAAAATATTTATATAGTGTTTTCCAGAGGCCAAGAGATACATGTACACAGTATTGTTTTACTTTACTTCCTGATAATATTTAGATGACTCACCAACATTAGCTTCAAGAAATCGATACGTGATCAAGCCATTCTCTCCCCAGTCTTCATCTTTTGCTTTCAGCATTCCAACCCCCGTCCCAGGACTCGCGCGTTCAGAGATACTCATCTTGTAAGGCGACATGAATTGAAACTCAGGCGAATGTTTGTTCACGCCCAGTACTTCGACCACAACCTGTGAAATAATGACAGCAACTAACTTTATTTATACTGGATAGCTCTGTCAGTTCTAAACTGTTCTCTCTAGAGATTGGAATAAAATATTTTACTGTAAAAGTTACTGTAAAAATGACTACAAAAAGTAACAAAAAAACTAACCGAAGTAAAACCAGAATTAGAAAGACCATCAGTGACACGAACTGTGAAAATATGATATCTCTCATCCACATCATACAGACTTGCAGCGGTTGATAGTTGGCCCTAGAGAAAAACATTTCAATTAAATCTCAAACGTGGTGGTCTAGTGTAAGCAGTATTCTATACAATAAGCTGTCGTGGTTTGTGTCTGAACTACCTGAAAAAGATATCTCAAACGTGGTGGTCCAGTGTAGGTAGTATTCTACAATAAGCCTGTCATGGTTTGTGTCTGAACTACTTGAAAAAGGTATCTCCAACGTAATTTAACTCAACATCATTGAATCGCAACCTAACATAGGGAACTTTTTATAAAAAAAGTAGATCACATACATTGCTATGGTCTACAGCAAAATATGTCTGTGCAGATTTGAAAGTGTACGTCAGCACGCTAGATCCAGACTTCGTCACCGCGCTGACTCTGCCAACCTCGTTACCAATCTCCGCATCTTGGCTGACGTTGAAGATGTATACTGATCTATCAAACACTGGAGTGACATCTGTCGAAGCTAAAATACGCAGAACAACTTTTTGATCTGTTGATAAAGCAGGGTTGCCGCCATCTTGAGCTTGTACGGTTAACTCCATCAAACCTGTGGTGTTAATATGACCCAGAGCAACCAGTGAAGCCTTGTTGACAGTGTTTTTCAGTCTGAAACAAAAAAGATGTAGTAGGAATTAAAATTTGACTAAGGCTAAACTAACTTTATTTATAGTGGATACCTCAGTTCTAAGCTGTTCAGTAAGGGGCATCCTTTCACCTTTGTTCATCCAGTGTTTCTACAGGAGGAAACTAGAGAACATGGAGAAAATCTGCAGTATTTGGTAGAGTCAAACTGGAAGCATTCTTCTCACATGTGACTGAGGTGGAATTATAATCAGACAACTGGATAATGTAGGAATCAAAGCTCAGTCACAGAGATGAAAGACACAAATTACTGTGCTTCAGTTCACCATCACTTAATCATTCAACTAAAAATCAAGATCGTGCTCACAAAGAGAAGTCTATAAAAACATTTCATTTCTTTTTCAAACCTTAAAATGCCCGTCTCCGAATCAATCTCAAATAGATCTCCAACATTCCGAGCCAGCGAGTACTGCAGTTCAGCGTTCTTGCCTACGTCATCATCTTGTGCCACTATATTGAGAACCACACTCGCCACAGACGTCTCTTCAGTGACGTCACTTCTATAAATATCACCCTTGGGGAAATATGGCGCATTGTCGTTGACGTCATCAACTGCGATATTCACCGTCACGCTAGACTCCAGTCCCCCGGCACCTCGAGCGTAGACGTTGAACGAATATGAGCCCACAGTTTCTCTATCCAGCGCTGTCCTTGTATTGATGACGCCAGTAATATTGTGAACGCTAAATACTTCGTGTTCTACATAATATGAGACGTTTGAATTCATTCCCAAATCAGCGTCAACAGCACGGACTGTAAGAACTTCGTAACCGATTGGAACGCTTTCGGAAACACTCGCAGTGTACTCGAGCTTCTCGAAGACCGGCCGATTATCATTATCGTCGAGTATCGTCACAATCACAAGCCCGAAGCCTTGTCTGGGGTTTAGATTTCCGTCAAGCGCCGAAACATTGATTCGGTATTCATCGCGCTGTTCTCGGTCAAGTCCGTGAAGCACTCGTAAACTGCCGTTGCTTTTTCCGACTTCAAACATGCCTTGGGCACCGGATATGATAGAGTAAGTCACCTGACCATTGAGCCCTGGGTCTGGGTCAGCGGCATGAATTGTTGTGACGACGTCATGTACTGCTGTGGATTCTGAGATAGAAACGCGAAGGATCATGGGTAAAAACTGAGGAGAGTTGTCGTTTTCATCTATAAGATGTATGGTGATAGGAACTGTAGACTGCAGTCCATTTCCAGCCTGGTCAGTGGCTATTATGTTGAATGTATAGGAGGGCGTGGTCTCGTGGTCCAAAGTTGGCCAAGATGAGACCCTTGTTTTCAGTACAGCGGTTATTCTATCGATCACGAATTGTTCGCTTCCTGAGCCCGCTATACTGTAAAGGATTTCAGCGTTAATACCGAGGTCATTGTCTGTCGCGAATATTGCCTCTTCCTAAAAGATAAGTGAAATAGGATATATCAGATATGGCCACTCTGGGACTACTTTTTCAAAGCTGGTTACAACAGCAAACTTGGTTACAACAACAACAACAACAACAACAACAACAACAACAACAACAACAACAACAACAACAACAACAACAACAACAACAACAACAACAACAACAACAACAACAACAACAACAACAACAACAACAACAACAACAACAACAACAACAACAACAACAACATGTTTAAAACATAGTAGTTTACCATTTGTACAGTGACGCCCGGACCGCTGTTCTCCATCAACCGTCCAGTGTAGTTTTGTTTCATGAATTGTGGAGCATGGTCATTGAGATCAAGAACATTGACAGTGACAAAACCTGTCGCCTGAAGTTACAAGGAAAGAAAATACAATACAGTATAATGTAAGTACAGTGTGTGTACACAACTAACCACAAATTGTAGGTTTCAGTCAACGCTATACGGCAGCAGATGGAGGTCAACATGAGAAATGCTGAACTACATTAAACTACAATTAAACTACGTCTCTCAATTCTATTTATTTGCCACCAAATACAAGACTACCACATATAATGAAAAGAATGAACATCGTATTCTCATTCTGATAACTGCAGGTTGACCCCCATCTGCTGCACGATAGTGTTAAGTGAAACACAACTATATACTAAAAGTACCTTCTTTGCTGTTGGTATTCCACCATCTTTCACCATTATTTCCAACATGTACTCCTCTTTAGCCTCACGATCCAAGCGACTCACGACAACAAGGGTTCCATAGGATGACTAAAACATCGAAAGTTCAGAGTTAACTGTTGGACTGCAGACTGAGGCTACGTTTCCACTATACCAGATAGCTTTCCGTAGCGGCGTGAAAAATCACCTATCCGATACGGAACGTACAACTTTCAGAAGCTGAGCGAAACAACATCTTTCTGTTGCAATAATTCCTCTGAAAATTGCGTTTCCTACAAGGTACGGATAGGTGTTTTTTCACGTCGCTACGCAAAGCTATTCAGTACAGTATGAACGTAGTCTGAATTACATGGACAGACGTTTTGATAAAGTACAAAAATATATGCACTAGCTTGCTTTGCACTTAAATAATACCTGGGAAACCAAATCAAAGTAAGAGTGATTATTTCCACGGACAATGCTATAGGTAAGTTCTCTATTTTGTCCTTCGTCCGCATCTGTTGCAGTGATATTGAGCACAGCTTTCTGAGGTAGATTGTTTTCATATACATTGATTGTATAGTTCACTGGCATTAACACAGGAGAGTGGTCATTGCTGGGACCCACTGTCAGAATAACATTGGTCTAAAATAAAACAGATATACAATAGAAAAATCCAAAAATGTTTTATCTCTACCTAAACTAACCTAACTTTATTTATACTGGATAGCTCTATCAGTTCTAAACTGTTCTCCCTAGAGGTCCAGTAAGGGTCATCTCTTATTGATCCAGTGTTACTACAGGAGGAAACCTAAACTAAACTAACTTTATTTATACTGGATAGCTCTATCAGTTCTAAACTGTTTTCCTACAGGTCCAGTAAGGATCATCTCTCATTGATCCAGTGTTGCTACAGAAGGAAACCTAAAACTAAACTAACTTTATTTATACTGGATAGCTCTATCAGTTCTAAACTGTTCTCCCTAGAGGTCCAGTATTAAGGATCATCTCTTATTGTTCCAATGTTACTACAGGAGGAAACCTAAACAAACTTTATTTATACTGGATACCTCTATCAGTTCTAAACTATTCTCCGTATGACTTACCGTGGCTGATAATTGTGGAGTGCCATGATCGGTCGCTTTAATAGTGAGATTATACTGATATCCCAAATCACGATTCAGCTTATTGACTGTTTTTATCACCCCACTGCTAGCATGTATGGAAAAGTCTCCTGAAAAACAAAAATTACAGAATACTTGAAACTTTTATTTCTGTAGATGGTAACTGCGAAATCTATTTCGGAAACTTAATCATTCACGCCCAAACACACAAAGGAAATCGGTCTTGATACCACGGTAATAAAAGTTAATTCACTTATGGTCCTAAATTCCTCGTGAACGGCCTCTGAAACAACACTGAGCAAACGCTTCGTTTTCAAGCAGATTTTCACAGACCTGCCCAGCCAGCGTTGCCTCGGAGTATTTCGTATGACACTCGACCATTGTCGCCACCATCTTCGTCAGTCGCCATGACAACAATGACAACCATGTCTTCATCAGCGTCGTGGGATATCATAAACGAGTAACCGCTGTCCGGAAATACCGGAGAGTTATCATTAATATCGTTCACTTGTACGGTGACCTAGAAACAAAGAAAATTTATGGCTCGACATTCAGGTATACACGTAAAAATCTCACAACTTGTCAACAAGATGTGTTCGCAACAGGTTTGTAGCAAGCTTGTCAACAAGTTGTAACAATGCTGTTAACATATCAAGTTCCTACAAGCTTGTCACTCACAACTTGGTGACAAATTTCTCTGTTAAATTGTGTTGTTAATAATTATCACTTATATGTATTCTGTATAAATAGTTAAGGTTACCCGTAAAGGAGTGTTCGGCTCTGTGGGTATAAAGTGTCATTTATCTGACAAAGATTGTAAAATAAAATAAAACAAAATTGTTGAATTGTAGGACGATAACAAGTTGTTGGAACAACCTGTAACAAGACTGTTGAGCTCAGCAACCTTGCAGCGAGTTGTCAACAAGGCGTTGACAACTTGTCAACAAGCTGGGAACAAGCAGTGCGAACACATCCTGTTGACAAGTTGTTGAAACAGCATTGCTACAAGTCTGCTGCAGGTTTGTCACAACTTGTGCGTTTTTACGTGATGTAGGGATCCACTGGATAATCATATCCGGCCGGATAGTGAGATAATCTCATGTATACCGAAATAAGAGCTATACTGTAGACACCCTGAAATCAAAATCATACTTACCTCGGTGGTAGAGGTCAGCGGTTGACTTCCCAAATCAGATGCCGTTACGGTGAGAGTGAATATTTTGTGTCCTTGAGTATTAGTACCCAGTCCTCCGATTTCACGGTCGACCGCATTAGCCACAGTGATTTCACCCTGGAATGGAAAAGATGGATTTCACAAATAGAATAGAAAGAGTGCTTCCAGTGTAAAAAAGGTACCAAAAAAGGTTTTCTCCTGTAGTAACACTAGATCAACAAGAGATGATCCTCACTGGACCTCTAGGAAGAACAGTTCAGAACTGATAGAGCTCAGTATAATGGAATTTAAGAGATACCATGAAGAACCATGAAGCATTTCACTTTAATCCTAAAATAATGGCAATGACAGTTTGTCACGAAGAAGTAAGATCCTCACCGTAATGTTATTGATACTAAAAGTGCCGCCAATATTTCCTCGTGTTATTGAATAAACAATTTCTTTATTCTCGCCTTCATCAACGTCTGTCGCACTGACAGTAATGACAGATCTGCCCTGAGTGTTCGCTCCTTCCGTGATATCTGTTGAATATGAGAGTGGGTTGAAGACTGGAGCATTGTCGTTTTCATCTGACACTGTGATTATCACATTAGCATCATCCTGGCGAAAGATAAAGAAAAATGATAATATAATCTTGCTATGGTAGTTCAGGCATACAACACGACAGCTTATTGAAATTATAAAACTTGTTATATTTCTTAATTGTCTTAATCTTTCAAACCCGATGTGATGTTATTATTATTGTCATCATTAGGCCACGTTGTCATATTTACACAAACTTTAATATTACTATAATTATAAAATTATTTAAATATCTATCGTATTATTTCCTACCCTCCGTCCATCGGGATCTGTGGCAGTGACTTGAAATGCGTAAGAAGATCTTGTCTCTCTGTCCAGTTTCTCAGCTGTTGTTGTGATTTCACCAGAACTTGCGTCGATCGAGAAATGAACTTGTGAAACTATTGATAAGATAGGGAATTAGAGAGAATTATCCAGTATAAATAGAGTTAGTTTAGTTTGAGTTTCCTCCTGTAGAAACAATGGGTCAATAAGAGATGATTTTCACTGGACCTCTAGGAAGAACTGTTTAGAACTGATAGAGCTATCCAGTATAAATAAAGTTAGTTTAGTTTAGGTTTTCTCCTGTGATAACACTGGATCAATAAGAGATGATCCTTACTGGACCTCTAGGAAGAACAGTTTAGAACTGATAGAGCTATCCAGTATAAATAAAGTTAGTTTAGTTTAGGTTTCCTCCTGTAGTAACACTAGATCAATAAGAGATGATCCTTACTGGACCTCTAGGAAGAACAGTTTAGAACTGATAGAGCTATCCAGTATAAATAAAGTTAGTTTAGTTTAGGTTTCCTCCTGTAGTAACAGTGGATCAAGAAGAGATGATCCTTACTGGACCTCTAGGAAGAACAGTTTAGAACTGATAGAGCTATCCAGTATAAATAAATAAAGTTAGTTTAGTTTAGATTTACTCCTGTAGTAACACTGGATCATTAAGAAATGATTCTTACTGGACCTCTAGAAAGAATAGTCGTTTAGAACTGATAGAGCTATCCAGTATAAATAAAGTTTAGTTGTTTAGGTTTCCTTCCTAAAAAAGGATGACTCTTATACTGGACGTCTATAAAAAAATAAATAAAAAATATCACGACGTACCTGAAAAAGTGTAAGTAATATCTGCATTCTCCCCAATATCCGCGTCAACAGCCGTGACTTTGAGAATCGAAAAACCTTCAATGGAGTTCTAAAAACAGAAAATTCTTCTCAACTCTTTCCTCTGAACGAAATTAATTTCCTTACTACTGGCTTTAGTGTATGCCGACAAGGAATTTAACTTGTCAACAAGTCTGTGAAAGAGTGAATGTTTAAACGGTTCCTACCTCTGGAACGCTGGCTCGATAACTGGTTGGATGAAAGACGGGATCGTTGTCGTTAACATCCTTCACTTTGATGCGTAATGAACAGTTGCTTTTCAATTTTCCATCACTCACTGATATCTGCAATAAAACTATATGACTTCAGAAGTCCCTCAGACCTTCCAACCTGTGCTAACAACAACTACATTGCTACTTCTGAATCACGTTAATATTTCATCAACCAAAAACAAAAGAAATCAAATAATATTTAATTAGTCTTTTGAAACTAGAGGAAGATCTCCTACTGGACAAAATTTTGAAATTTAATGCATAATACTGTACTGTACTGTACTTTAAAACTATCCAATAATTCAATCATCAGTCGTACCGTCAATGTATAATACTCAGTTGTCTCTCTGTCCAGATTTCCCGCCACAGATATCTCAGCAACATTAATACCATCCATCGTTTCGGTAGCAATAGCAAACTTTCTGTCTTCGTTGCCTTCCACGATATTGTATTGGAGCTAAAATTGTATATAGATAAATTGATATCAGAGGAATAAACGAAATTGTGGAGGTCCAGTGTAGGTAGTATTCTACAATACTAATGATTACTAAATCATCTTATCATTTTATCATATCATATAAATTACTATATAAAAATTATATAGTAATTATTATATAAATTAAATTATATATTTATTAATATATAGCTTAATTAAATTATATATAAATTACTATATAAAAATTATATAGTAATTATTATATAAATTAAATTATATATTTATTAATATATAGCTTAATTAAATTATATATAAATTAAATTATTATATAAATTAAGTAGATTTATCAGAGGGATAAACGAAATTGTGGAGGTCCAGTGTACGTAGTATTCTACAATAAGCTCCAGTAGTTTGGGTCTGACGTGGGGTATTGATCTTTTAACTTGGACTTGTGTTTCCATTACCTCTGCAGTAATTTCGTCAGGATCGTACGCTTCAAGCACGGTGATTTTTGTTCCAGGAGAAGAACTTTCTTCGACTTCAGCTTGGTAGTTTTTGAACTGGAATACTGGTGGACTGTCGTTTACGTCTGTGATCAATATTGTCACCTGTGAATGCAATAGAAAAAACATTAATTTTTCATCTTTAGGCAAGTAGAGCTATCCAGTATAAATAAAGTTAGTTTAGTTTCGGTTTCCTCCTGTAGTAACACTGGATCAATAAGAGATGATCCTTACTGAACCTTTAGGAAGAACAGTTTAGAACTGACAAAGCTATCCAGCATAAATAAAGTTTAGTTTAGTTTAGGTTTCCACCTGTAGTAACACTGGATCAATAAGAGATGACTCTTACTGGACATCTAAGGGGAACAGTTTAGAACTGATAGCGCTAACCAGATATTTTTTCGTTGTTAAAATGGAAATGAAAGGTGTCTTACCACAGTGTGACCAATTTGATTTGAATCTTCACTATTCGTAGCGGTCACAATCAATGTGTAAGAGAACTGAGATTCGCGGTTGAGTGGCTTCACCAGAGTTAAAGCTCCCTGTATGATACAACGAAAAGTCGAATGTTAAACCCTTCCATTTCTGCGATCTGCGACTGGAGTTTTCTACAATATTCAGTTGTCTGATTATAATTTCATCTCAGAAGCACTTTGTTTGAGTGTTTAAAACTGAGTCAGTTTCCTCAAACATTTCTTACAAATCCTTCAAAACTAAGAATTTACCCATGCAAAATTCCTACTGTGATCACAGAAACTTTGATAGTGTCAACACCAGGCTTAAGAAATCTTACCGAAGAATCTTGAATATGAAATATTCCCTCTGAGTTCCCGGAAGTAATTTCGTACACAATTGAAGATCCAGGAGGCGGGTTTCTCTGAGAGGCTTGGAGGGTACCTATGCGTGTGTCTATCCCAGTATCCTCAGAAATATTGAACATATAAGACGGTTGTTGAAACACAGGTATGGTGCTGTCTTTGGATATCACTGTGAGAGTGACATTGACTGTAGGACTGTGCAACGCCGGCTCGCCATGGTCAGTAGCTTGCACGCGAAGAACATGGCTGGATAAAAAGATGAGATGAAGGTGAATTGGTGGATTTTAGCTTTACTACGCACCATCCATAAAATCTAAAGCACCGGTACCATATAAACTTGACTTATGACTCAACATAAAGTGAAATATTGTATATAGTGAAAAATGGGGTTATTGATTGAAAAAGACGAGATAACTGATTGACAACTTGCATGTCTATCAGTAAGTTTGTCCGAACTTGTTTGTGATGTTTATCCTAATGGGGTTATTTATTTTTTAAATATTGTAAAATAGTGAAATATTTGGTATTTTTGAAGCACCTTAAGATGAGATGAGGCTGAATTGGTGGATTTTAGTTTTACTAAGCAGCCTTACAAACGAGCCAGGAAAGTTCCCTTCACAAGTTTTCCTTGACAAGTGTTATTTGCTCGCGTGTGTATGGCGACATATTGACAGCTTTTCCTTATCAAGAAGCTCTGCTGCAAAGCTAGTCTTGCCAGCTTTTGGACAAGGAAAATTTGTTCGTGTGTACGGCCGCCAAGGAAGGCTTGACAGGTGTACAAGAAATACTTCTATGATTTTGGCGAACAAAACGCGACCTTGACGTGAGATAAATGTGTTAAATAAACGCAGAAACTCGAGTGTAATAAGGCAAATACTTAAAGCCCTGTTTAAAGCCCTGTTTAACTCCGAACGGATCCAACATTGTTGGGCCAACATCATCCAATATTGTTGAAATAATGGCTCAAACGGCTTCTTTTTCAAATATTTTTGTCAAGACTAGGTTTAGAGTTTGAGTAAAGCTTATCTAACCAAAAAGATTTGAAAGAGAAGTAGTCATATCTAGTATAGTAACATTGCTGGATGATGTTGGTCCAACAATGTTGGATCCGTTTAAACAGGCCTTAATGCAATATTTTATGATCAATTATCTGTATTGTAAATTGCGCCATTCCTTGCCTTCCCAGTCGCTTGATATGTTTTTATCTGATAGTGTAGACTTCTCTTGTTTGATTGCGAAGAGTGTTGGCCAGTATAACGCTCAAAACGACATATTTTTAGCTAACATAACACGCACGCAATAGAATTCTCTAGATCTCTTGTAGTTTTGGTGCTACCCATCCAATGACGTCACAAAGTTCATTGACCTTCGAGATAATTTTTCAAAATTTTTTTCCAAGATGGCGGCGAAACACAAAGTTTGCATGCATTTTACTCGTAGACTAAAATGTTTGAGAAGGAAATGATAATATTTTCATAGTTAGGTCGTCAAGTAGGATTGAAATAGCCAATAAAAATTTTCGTTGCCATTGTCCTTTAAAACAACATTCCGTGCACACGAAAAAGAAAACTTCTCAGAATGAAGAGAAACGTGCTCGCCTGAGCTTTAGAGCTGCGTTGTCTCACTTAGTAAAACCCATCAATACCTTTGTTTGGTTGCATAATCCAAGCTCTGACTCAGTGACACAGCCCCAGTATCCGAGTTCACTGTCAAAAAGCCATCACTCAGAATGCTCTCGAAAGTGATTCTCTTATTGGTGTCTCTGAGGTCAGCGTCAGAGGCAAGGAGTGTGAACAACACTGTAGTGACTGGGGTCGTCTCGTTTATTTGGAGATGTACAGGAGCATTTAGGATCATTGGGGAATTATCGTTGATATCCAGGACACGAATGTTCACGATGATCACTGCAGATTTTGGGATACCTGAAGGGATAGAATGGGACGGAAATCAAGTCTTTGAGCATGCATGGATAGTTAAAATATTTCTCATTCTTGAACTAATAAATATAACCAACTTTTATTCA